TTCTAATTATATTAGGAAAAAATTCTTTACTATGAGGGTGGTGAGGCACTGACAGGTTGCCCAGGGCAGTTGTGGATGCCCCATCCCTGGAAGTGTTCAAGGCCAGGTTGGATGGGGCCTGAGCAACCCATTCTAGTTGAAGGTGTCCCTGCCCACGGCAGGGAGGTCGGAACTGGATGATCTTCAAGGTTCCTTTCCAACCCAAACCATTCTGTGATTCTACGATCTCACAATAGTATCCGAAGAAAAAATAGGATAACTGTGATGCAGCTTTTTCTGCTTATGTAAGTGAAATATTGAGGGGAAAGTAGAAAGTTTGTTTTAACTTACTGCTTTGTTAAAACAAAACAAAACAAAATCTCTGTAGTCTAAATTCGGTATTCTCGTGAGCTTTAGCAGGGAGTATAATTCCACAAAGCTTCAGGTTGTTTTGTTTTTTGTTTTTTCCTGACATTATCCAGGGACGTTCTCAATACTACATAAGCCTTTGGAAAAATAGTTTGAAAAACTTAGTATCTCTGCCTAGATGCTGATTATGAAAACAGCTAATATAGCAACTTTTGAGGAATGTAAACTGTATAGAGCACCAAGGTTAGACAAACGGGAGACGATAATCACAGGTTTGTAAGTCTCTTAAGTGGGAAGAGAGTGGCTCTGCCCTCGGGAGCTGCCTCGGGCCGCGCCAAGCAGGACGCCGCTCAGAGCGGCAGCGGGATCAGCTGCGCCCGCTCCCTCCCGAGCCCGGCCGGGCACCTGCGGGGCGGCTCCCTGGGCCGGCTACCGCTGCCATTGGCCTGGCGCTGCTTCCCGCCTCCTTTGAAAGCTTGGGAAGGGCGGGCGGCAGTAGTGCCTCGGCAGTCGGGCAGCAGGGTCGGGCCAGGAGCGCTGGAGGCCGCAGGTAACTCGGGCAGCCCGCGGGGCGGCCTTTGCTTTCGGAGCTTTTCCTCCTGGGGATTGAGGTGGGCTCGGTTAGGCTGGGCTGGGTTGGATTGAGCTGAGTGAGCTTCACTGAGGTTTCTTTGCTCGTGGGTTCTTCATACAACGTGGTAACGCTAAAAGAAGTTTGTGTGCTTAGTATGGCAGTGCTTGTCTTGGCAGCTTTGTGCTTTATAGGAAGTAGTAGGCTTCTTTTGGTGTTTGTGTTTGTTTGGTTGGTTGTTTGTTTTTAAATGTTTACTTGGTTTCAGCTTCTATTGGCTTGTTGGAGTAGGCTTGCTATCTGAGCAGCCGAATCAGTGCTTGGGCTAGCTGTGATGACTTATAAAGGTGTTTCTTAAGGCCCTTAGTAGTAGGGGGCAGTAGTAGGGCAGTACTGTGTACTTTGGAGCTGGTGCTTATGAAGTAGTGATGGAAAAACTCGTCTTACGGTTTCTTTTGTGGCTTATCTTTTCATCCACTTGTTCGGTTGCCAAAACATAGTGACATTAATTGTGATTTTACAAGGTAAGTTTTTTTGATCCTGTTCTAAAACCCTTGGTGAAGAAAGAGAACTAATGAATGATTGAAATAAGAATCTGGAGACCTAGAATTCATGTCATTGCTGAAGTGCACTTAATTCCAAAATTGTAGAATTTCTTTTTGTTAGGTGGTGTTAAATATTTAGCAAGTGTATGCTGATGAAAAATCTCCTTATAATTTAATATTCTACCAACATTGGGCTTCAGTGTGTTTTATTCTTTCATAATTGGATGGGAATAATAAATCATTTTGGAGTTACTTCATCTGTTTCAAGGTAGGAGTATCAACTAGCACCTTTGAAGATATAATAGAGCTGCTGTGAGAACCAGGGTGCAGAATATGTTAGACCTGAATAGAAATAGTTTGCAGGATTGCTCTGATCTATATGCTACTTGGGAAAAAGGAAGGAAGAATTATGAGGGACTATAATTATGGGTGTGTATGGTACACTTAAGTACAAAATACCTATATATGTTTTCATCTGCCTTTAACAGCTGCAATGAAGGCTTCAAATACATGTGAGCTCCTTAGAACATGTGTACTTCAGAACAATTAATTAGTTCTGAAACTACTCAGGCTGAGTACAAGTACATGTTTTTCCCTATCACATTTCTGCACAGATGTCTGATATGGCTTGGCTACACAAATAGGCTTTTTTTTTTTTTTTTGTACCACTGTTTATTCTGTCCATAAACTGTAAAGTCAGCTTGAACTAGAAATTTCTATATGGTTCTTGTTTCCTCCCCCCAGCAAACCCCATCTTGCAGCTTCAGTTCTCCCATGGTAGAACTAAGCAGGATTCTGATGGTAGCTGCTTTTGAAAACTGCCTGGGTGTCTCTTTGGAAATAGTCAGAATTTTAATGCACAGGCTGGCTGTGTTCGTTTATAGAATTACTGTTTCCAATAATATCCCTGCTGATCTCATGAAAGGGGGGAAAAGTAAACAGTAATGAAAAAGATACTGGGTTTGTTCCAACTGAAAGGAACAGTAATTTTTTTTCCCCTCAAAACTCACTTCTGTACTCTCTCCCTCCCATCTGTCTCCCTGGGAGGTAGGGGGATTGTGGCTTGTATGTTAATCTCCCCATGGAATTATGTATGCATAGGAGAGGTTTTTTTCCTCATAAAATAAGTTGTCATTTCGCAAGTCTTATGTTCTCTCTTATAATTTCTGTCTGAAAACGTTCTTGTGAAGTTAATCTAGTTTAAGGAAAAGAGATGTGCTGCTAATTCCTCTGACAAGTTTTGTGACTTCACAAATATGTCACTTGCTTTCAAAAGTTTGTTGTTCTGCAGGACTTGCAAACAGTAGTTAGCAGATTAGTTGAAGACCCTCTCTTGCAAGCTGCTCTTCACAGATGCACCTCTGAGCTCAACAGGAGCTCTGTGACCAAATTCTACTCTTCAACAGGTCATCTGCAATGACAGGCTTAAAGGCTGGGTGTGTGAAGTGTAGCCTTGAACAGAGTGAATTCATGTACTGCTTTTTTTTTGTTGTTCAAATGCAGTGGGAATAATATTTAAAGTAAAGGCAGTGTTTCAGATTACTTTTATAACTAAATAATTTGGAAAAGTGCCACTAAAGTTTCTTGTCTTTCCTTTTAACCTCCCTTAAATGGCTTTTTTTAATGTAGAAAAATAGGGGGGCCTCTGTTTAGCCTTTGCTATATCTCTCTATATATTTGCCCGTAGATTTTTTTTTTTTAACTCTCCTACTATTTCTGCTCTTGAACTGTTACTCTGTCAGGTTTTATCTTCTCTGTATAATACTTTGAAGTGAGACACAATTCTACAGGGGCTTGCATGTGATTAAGTGAATGCAATATGTAGATGTCTTTGTAAGCAGATGAAAGCAAGGACCCTTCCCTGCCCATGGTACCCCTATGGCTTTTCTGGATTTCATTTTAAAGGACCCAGCTATGAGAATTGGAGGGTGGTGGTGGGTGATCACGGTGGCAGTAAAGAGCACCGTGAGGTTCCAACAGACGATTCAGCACTACAGGTGTGTTTGTGCATTTACCTAGCAACAGGAACAGCAGTAGCCTAGCTGAGTTTTTTATCTGGTTATAACAGACTGTTTGCATTAAGCCTGCAGAAGATAAAACTTAGAAATCCTGGCATCCTGTCTGTACCAGTGCTCTGCCTGTTGCTGTTTGGATCAGGGTAGTTTCCCTGTCCCACAGAACTCTGAGAGTGCAGAAAATTTTTCCACCCTGTGCTGGAATAAAGCAGATTCCCCCTTCCCTTCCCCCAAGCTTTTGTGGAAAAAAACAAAGTGCGAGCAACCCAAGCAGAATAGCCAATAGCTGGGTGAAGGGGGCTTTTCAGGGGTGTGACGAACAGAGGGTCAGGTGCTTTCCTTGAATCCAGGGCTGCGTACCGGGCCGCCGCTCTGTCATGCGCCCGCTCGGCGCTGCAGCCGGGTCAGTGTACGGCAGGGCAGGTGTGTATCGGCCAAAGCGAGTTTCAGTGCAGATGAGTTGACACCCTCTTCCCCCTCCCTTCCTCCCTTCCCCCGCCAATCACGTGTTTGTTACGCTGGAAATACTCCCAACAAAATCTGGCTGCTACGTAATGATGGGGGAACTCTTTTGAAAACAAAAAAGGAGGGGAGAAAAATACTCCTCCAGTCCTCCCCCTCCCCCCCAAAAAATGCCCAAAAAAACAAACAATAAAAAAGACTCTCGCAAAAAATCCAAACAAAACCCAGAGGAAAGCCAAGTCCACAGACGAGGGCGAAACCCGTGAGAAGCAGGGGGTTCCGACGACAGTCATCCGTCATGTGAGCCCAGAGTTCGGGGAATCAAATCCCCCGGCCAAGCCGGGAAGCCCGTCCCTGCGGCGGCGCTGGGCTCTGGCCTGGCTGCGGGGGCGGTCCCCCGCACCTGCCGCCGGGCTGGCTGCGGGGACGGGCGCTGTTCCTCTCTAACCAGCGTTTTAGGGGGGCAGCGCAGGTGTCGGTGTCCCGGTTTGCGAGATAACCTGGCCCTCGCCCGGCGGCGGCGGGGCTCAGCCGCCCCCCGGGGAGCCGTGCGTGGCTTGGCAGGAGCAGGCGGCTGCGGGCACGGCAGAGGGGACCTGGGCAGGGGACGCCCGGCCGGGGGTGCGGCGGCCCCTCCGCCCCCGCGGAGCCCTCACGTCCCCGGGCGGGGGCGGCACCGCCGGGCGGGGGCGGCGGGCGGCGCGCGCGCGCAGAGGCGCGGGGCGGGGGGGCCGGAGCGCGCGGGCGGGGCCGCGCCGGCACCTCGGTCGGCGGGCGGGGGCTCGGCAGAGGTCCGGCCGGTTCGCCCGGCCCTGCCCCTCAGCAGCGGCGGCGGCGGGAGCGCCGGGGTGAGTCAGTGTTTGGAAATGGAGTGGGCGGGCGTGCGTGTAACAGAATGAATGATGTCAGGGAGCACCGCGGCGAGCATGAGGTTCGTGGTAAACACGGCGGCGGCCGCAGCAGCCCCGAGCCAGCGCTGCCCCCGGCGCCCCCCGGCCCGGAACCGCCCTCCAGGGGGGGAGCGCGTCCAGCAGCGGCTCTGCTGAGGCAGGAAACCTTTCCGAGAAGTGTCGCCTCCGCTGACGCCCTTAAAGCCGGTCCCTTTCGCCAGGAGGGAGAAGAGGCTGAGGCTGGGAGAGGAGCGAATTGCAGGGGAAGGTAGAGATTGTGGCAAACTTTCTAGCTGCTTCTGTGTGCTGCTACCTCAGCGGTGGGAGTGTCTGGCCATAAGGAACTGCAAAGCCCAGACCTGAGAGCCCTGAGGCTCCAAAAAGACTTCCATCTGCCTTTGGAGGAGGAACTGCCAGCAGTGCAAGCTGAGTAGGTAAGTTGGGAACGGCACAGGTGGATTAAAAGCGTGGCATACCACAGGTACGCTCTTAGAGAGCTGTTTTCACAGAAGACTTCTACGTGTGAACTGGATAGAGACTGGGAGTAGCAATCGTATACTTGCGGTTTCTTCCGTTTCTAGAGTTATGTCTGTTTTACCAGTAAAATGGTCTTATTTTTAGTCCTGAAGAGGCCCCTCTAACTAGGGAGGACACCTGCTGTCTCGATTTCTCTTGCAAATATTTAATTTACAGAACATACTTAGTTTGCTATAAAATTGTATGTTACTGATATGGGCGATATGTGCATACCACGTAGATACCTAGCTGGACAGGAGAGGACTTCAAAATGTCAGCTCAGGAAGATAAAGTATTATTGTAAGGATCATAATGGTATTATGTTTTGCTGTACGTTTGGTTTTTTTCTTGTTGAATGTTTGCTCCATTGAAGCCAGTCTTAAACTTCCTGAAGTGCAGCTAAACTAAACTTCTTGGCTTAATGGCAGAGTACATTTCTGTTAACGTTGCATGGTTTCTGACTTAAAATCCTCGTGGAAAATAGTTAATGCATAATCTTCTAGCAAGATAATATAGGATACAATGTAGACTAGGTGTTGTCCAGTTTAATCCATTTCTAAACTTCTATTTCATTTGAAGACCTTAGAAAATCAAACGTCTGTCTGCAAACCACTTGACAGCTGTTAATTTATACACAATTAGACAAGTGAATGGTTCCATAGATGTATTAGCGTAAACTGAGCAGGTGCATGATACTCTGTCTGAGACACCAGGCCTTAGAGGAGTTTTGGCAAGCTTCACTTTAAGTCATGTTTATTAATTGATTTGCCCCAAACCAGTTTTCTTTTTTTCACTATATTTCATGTAGTTGGTTAGGTGTATTATTATTTGACCTGGCACGATTTTTGAGACTGCATAGCCTTAGATATGTTTTCCTTTGTGAATCTAGTAACTCTTACTCTTTACTTACCCTAATTTAAATGTCTAGGGCTTAATTTACTAGAAAAGTCAATAGGCTTGCTTCCATATTTTTTTCCACTTAGATTGTTTCTCCAAAATCAGGCATGGATTATCACATTTTACTGAAAAACATATCCTTGTCTCTGTCCTTCAGAAAAATATTCAAGTGTACCTTGTGTACTATGTGCAGTCTTAAAGAGTATTTGGACAAATCAAAGTGCTGGTGGGGAGAAACTTTAGATGAAAATCTAAGGGGACAACAATAGCATGGCAGATGAAGGCCCCTAATGAGGTTGATATTTGTGCTGTCCTTGAAGTGAACTTATACAACGGAGGAATGAGAACTTGGAGAGCAAAGACGTATTATTTTTTTTAACTCTTGGGTTGGTAATCTAATTAGATTGACTAATTCAGAATGACTCTACCCCTGAGTTTTAAATATTGAGCCATGGCTGGCATGTTGATAAGCATCTATTTTTCTGCATCGTAAGTGTGTTGTGATTGTAATATTTTAAGACAAATTAATTCCAAACTTAATGTTTTAAGTAGACATTGGAAGTATTATATAAGGGGTGCAGTATTGTGACAAACTTGGTATTTCCTTATCAAGTTAAAAAAACCCAACTCACATACATACCTGCCTGTATCTGAGAGATCTGAATAAGAGACATAATCTCAAGTATTTTTAATTCTGAATACCAGAGTTCTTTATTTATAATGTATTAGTATGCCAAATAAAGGTATGAAGACTGAAAATAATGTATTGATTTTTTTAAAATATTAACAAAATAAATATCAAAACAAGTGATGGATTTAAAAAATAAGTAGTCTTTCTTAAGGACCAGAAAATGTGAAAGAAGGTTTTTGAAGAAATGGCTCATTACAGTTAAGTCTTTTGGTATAGAAAAGGACTTTGAAGATACAGATATTTGTAATAAAATTGCATATATCTTCTGTTTGTCCTTTTTCCCTAATTTTGATGGGCTGTTGGCCTACAGTGTTATTGGATACTGTTTGTGGGGAGTGGACAATACAGATGCTGTGACATATTATTTAGTATGGATATGGTATTGTAGGAGTCCGAACAGATGCTGGGAAGATTAATGTAACACTAGGTCCACTGTCTTCAGAGATCTCTCTCTGCTGGGAGAATTGTTTGTACCATTGACACCACTGTCCCCAAAGATGCTGCGGACACTAAGAACGTCAGGCATCCAGGCACCACTGTCCCAGCAGATTCTGAAGAGCTTAAGAGCTGCTAGTGGAAAAGTTTTATGTAACACAGATAGCTCTGTCTTGTCCAGAATAGACTTTGTTTGAAAGATATTTCTTAACTATACTGAAACCCGACTGTTCTAGTGAGCCTCCAGAGCGTTAATAACCACAAGTCTGTCCTGTACGAGGATCCTTGTTTAAGTTATCTCTGTTTCTCTTCTCCAGAATAGATCTTGTAGGGATATGGGTAATACAAAGAATAAAGTACTTACCATTATAGTTTCAGAAGTCTACTTTATAGCTGTTGATAGGAATTTTAATAGGACCAAACTGTGTACTAAAACTAAATCAGCTTTAGGAAAACCTGTTACTTACCCATTTTGCTAACATATATATATAGTATCTGTAATACTGCTGTGCTTTCAGGACATCCTTGTAGTTGCTGAGTAAAACTTCCTGCCTCACTGTGTGGTAAGTGGGTCCTCTTGTTTAATCTGATGGCATAAAAAAAATATACTGAGGTCTAGTCTGTTTTACAGATGAAGAAATAGTTTGTCTGAGTATCTGAAGCTGTTGAGTTAATCATAATGGCTCTTATTGAAATAGTGTTCAGGTCTAGAACCTCAAACAAATAATTCTGGAACATGATTACTCAGGAAAACTTGACTTCATTTTGACAAGGGAATTTTATAGTAAAAAAGCACATATTCAATATTTAATTATATAATTTTGCAGATAAAATAGTTTCTCAGATGTGTAACCCTAGAATGGGAGAACATCCTGTACATTTAAAGGTATCTGAATGAGAAAGCAGGTGTCTTGCTGTCATTTACCCTCCCCAGTTGATGCAGGTTAACTTGCAACTGCCGTGTATGAATTGCAACAACATCCCTCTTACTCTTTATAAGTTCCTAAACAAAATTGAAGTTGCTGCTGTCAGTGGACCTGTGAGGATTCCAGAGTCTGAGCTTTGCAGCCGCATGTTGCAATGTTTTCCTGTTCCTGGCTTTTAGAGTTCATCTCTTCCTGCTTCCTACTGTAGTCTTCTGAGTTTTTTTTTCTTTATATATTGAGATTTCCTTAGGCTGAATCGTACTAGAATCCTGTGCAATGCTTGACACTAAGCTTTGCAATGGTTTTGTGTGCATGTGGTTTCCGATGCAAAGTAGATCTGGGGTTTTACACCTATTCTTCCTTGAGGAAATGCTGAGCCTCTTGGGTGCAGCACTGAATGTTTTGAGAAGTTGCAAGAGTGAAGTTTTAAGTGCTAATATGGATTAAATCCATATTAGTAAAAAAAAATCCAAAATTAGTATGTTTGTTCAGTTTGTTCAGTTCACTGTGAGCTTTAGCAAAACTTACTGGAGTTTACCTATGTAGAGTGTAACTTACAGAAGGGTGAGGTGTGGGTTTTTGGGTTTTTTTTTTTGCTTGTTCGTAGATCAGTGATGTTCATGCCTCTAATACTAGAACTTGAATGTAGTTGTTTTTCTTTTAAAAATTTCAGTAAACTATAAAATAAATGGGAGTTTAACCCTATTAGAGTGCAGAAATCTGTCCAGCCTCAAAGAACAAGCCTCTGGCAGAGTCTGTCTAGAACCTGAATCTTGTAAGACCTATCTTAGAGCCCTAAGCAAAAGGTAATGGTTTTTCTTTATTGAAGGACTATTACAAGTGGTTTGGCATATGTTACTTCCCCAATATAGCTTTAGTAGAACACTTGCATCTGTAAAAGTCCTTTATTAAGAAGTCACCTGCTTTCAGTGCTTGTTTTTTCATGTTGAAATATGTTTGCATTTCTTAATTTTTCTCTTTTTAGAGTTTGTGATCCGCTTACCCTCCTAAGATCTCAAACTGTTGTGTGATGAGTGCTGAATGACTTCTCTCAATTAGTTTCAGTCATGTGAAATGTACATAACAGTGACAAAATGTTTACTTATGCACACACCCAAGTTCCTGCTTATGTTCACTCTAGTGCTGGTTGGTGGAGCAGAACTAAATAAGAAGACAGTCTCCAGACTTTTTTTCCAGTTCCAGCCATGATATACTTATGTCTTATCCAAGAAACTGAATTCAACTCTATATGTTCCATTTAAGATTCTGAGTTACTGCTAAATCAGAAATAATGAGACAGTCTCCTTATTTAGGTGACATAATTTGCTGGAGAGAAGCTGCAGCAGTAGAGAAGGTTGTGCCTCATAGTCATTAATTCTGTATTCCGTCTGGAGGGGCACAATATAATCCTATAGCTTGTTGATGGTTCTAGTACACATCTACAGTAATTACTGCTCTTTTTTTTTTTAACTTCTCCCCCATCAACCTTGTAAATGGAAACAGCACTTGCTGCCTGTGGATGCTCTATAAGGGTGCCAAATACCACTGCCCTGTCTTGATTTGATACTGAACACAGATTATATTGAAACAAACTGTTCCCATCAGTGCCATTGCCTCAAAAGGACATTTTAAAAGCTGGAATGCTGTGTTACTGTCTTAACAGTGCTAAAAGAACACAATGTAGGATTCTGTTTCATCTTCTGCCAGCTATTCTGGTTCAAATTTATGTATTACAATTTCAGTAAAGAACCAAAAGCATTTCAACTGAAATTCTGAAAGCACTTTGTTATGTTTTGGTCTGGGGTTTTTTTTGTGTAATACTGAGAGAAATTAATTGTTATGATTCTACTTTAGTTCATACTGTTAGTTTTTCTGGTTACTTACCTATTTCAGGAGTGTATATAAACTATCAATATGTTGTAGCTTAAAAAGTTAACTCATGTTACTTTTAGCTCCTATGTATTTGGAG